GTTACGCAGATCTACGGTCAATATTGCTGGTATACTTGCTCTGATATTGGTTTGAAAATACTGGTTTCAGTTAATCTGAAGTCACTGAAGATTTCAATGATTCCTAAGGTAATCTGCACTGCCTGTAACATTGTCAGGCATGTCATATATGCCACATCAATACCTGGGTGCAGTTGCACGGGATAACCACTGTTTGAATTTTTTAATTAGACGATTTGATTCTCAGATATCATAGACACAGCGTACTGTTGGCGCCGGAACGTTAGCGGCCCCGTATTTCGGACATCAATTTCGAACGAACCACCTGGTATGACTGCACCTTTTCCTAGCGTGCGTTTCAGACCATGTGCCATTTTCTTGGTTAAAACGCAAATTAATGGAGCGTTCCTTTCACTCATCATGCTAGTAACAACGCTGAAAAATCGACTGCAGGTAAATGCCACCGCGATGACGTCTCTCGACTCGACAAGACGATGACGACTCTGACGTCAGATACATAACAAGGACGTTCTCCTGGCGCAAAAGCTAGATACCAGAAGCGACGGGACAGGATGGGACAAACGAAATAGCAGAGCACACGGTAGTGCATGACAGATGACAGACAGACGGCAGGACAGAAGACTTGGGCGGGGGGGGGACAAAAATCCGAGGATTGAGTACAGACGGCAGAAAGCGGAGGACAGAGAACAAGACGGCCAGAATGAAAAACAGACAACAGATACACAAGAAACCCGCCCGCCCTGGCCAGCGCACACTTATATGTTCTGTTCAAGACAAAATAGAACAGGACAGGACAGGACAGGACAGGACAGGACAGGACAGACCCGGCCATGACAGGCTCAGCCTTATGGGAGTTTTTACACCTTCGTCCAATGATGGGGCCTCGGGGCATCCCCGAGAGATGTTATTAACTAGCAGGCTATGGCCACGGCAGACACGGCGTCCGAAAGCTCTAGTCAAGCTGAATTAGATGGGTGTGATTGGATATGGGTGAACGTATATTGGACAGATCAACCAGGTCATATGCATCCAATTGCAACGCCCAGCTGCCTCCTCTTATGTAAAGAACTAAAATTGCTACGACAATGCAGAGGATGGCGTCATATGGGTTCGGAAAGCTTTACCAGAGGGCTAAAAATAGTGAATATCGCCAGGTGTGACCTGTGATGTCATTTTCGTCACTTGGCTTTTACGGCGCACGCAGATGCTGAGGCTATGTGGCATCGCCTGCCTCCCATGCTGGCAGGAAAAGTGGGCACTGCGAAGAATCCAACCCCGTACCTCTGATTTCCTACACGCGCAGCCCTTTACTATCAGTACCCATGCGATATGGCATGCCAGATCAAAGCGGGGAAGGCTGTTGTTGCATTGACCCACCCAGCGATATTAGGAAACCTTCATAGCTTTAACACTATTAAATTTCACATAGGAACACCTTCAAAAAGCAAATCTGTTCACGAAAATCATAGTTCGACCTAGCTTGACCTTGGGTGAACACACGTGACAAAAGAAACCAGAACGATATCAATGCACAACAGTGATGATATGCGATGCAAGGGTCAAAGGTCATCGCCATTGTCACTAGCTCGACATCCGCACCAGGACATAAACACTGCCATCCGGTTCGCTGGCTTTCATCCCCTCAAAAAACTACCGTTTACATGGGTGGGCGAAGGTGCTACCAATTTAGACTGGAGGGATAATCTGACCAAGGACCGTTCATTTGCGTTAACATTGCGTTAGGCAAAACCGGTCCTACGTCTGTTTGAAAGCCGGTAGTCCAAACCTGGAAATTTCAAATCGAGGTGCAATGTATGGATGAAGTGCGTTTTTGAGACAGATGGTCGCAGTTGTACAGCTGCTGTGCAGGTGATAGCTGGAGAGCGTCAGTTTGTGCGGAGATCGTGGTCGGATGAATATGTGAAAAGATGGACTTCGCCAAATTATCCACCAAGCGGCATCGAATGGTAAATATTTCTGTTAGTAGATCTTGTGTGCCTATCAGTCTCACAGGCCCGGAGCATACAGTTGCCTGCAAACTTTTATTTTGGTTTTGTTCATTCTTCCGACCTCTGCTCTGACCCAAGGTCACCATCTCCTGGAAAGGATAGACCATGGCCGAAACTTATCTGCAAACTTTCTGTAAGTTGGGGCACTTATGATGACCTCTAACCTGACAAAAGACAATACTTTCTGGACAGAATGGCTATCGACCATGGCGCATCGATTGGTACAGGCTTCGTGCCGATCGGTCGCATACGCTCGGAGCATGGGGGCGTCTAAAGGCAATATTGGAGATGTCGGACATGTTTTGATGACGTTTGACCTGACCAACTGTCACCATGTTTTGAAAAGGAGAGGATTTCAACATTGGTGCATCAATCAGTAAAAGTTTTGTACTGATCTGTTCCATACGTTTGCAGATAGGGATGTTTTCAGGTCAATTTTTCCACTGTAAGGTATCTTTGGTGACCTTTGACCTATCCCAGGGTCATCATGTCCTGAAAAGGACAAGCTATCGACTAAGCGGCATCAAATTGTGAAGGTTTCGTATTGACCGGTGCTATAAGTTCGGAGGATGTCATGCCATTTGAGTCATGAGGATGCCATTTGAGTCATGGACTAATCACATTCTTCACAAATGTTGTGAGCTTAATCATGAACTGATAATTTCTACTTATGTTGTGTTAATGGCTAAAACTAAAGTGACAATATACAGAAATATATTGATGGCTCACATTTAAGTGGCAATATCTAGAAATACATTTGTGTCATCACACACTCAGTGAATTACCAGTGATGACATATTGTTAGCTGATACCTTATGGCTAACACTCAACCAAAAACAACCTGTAAAAACTCATGACCACACACTCAGGTGATTCGGCAGAGCCATCATTCAGCTCGCCAATACTTTAACAGGTGCGAAAGGCAAAGGTGGAACATGACCTGTTGCGCCTGATGTTAAGTCGAACACCAGTGACGTCATATCGTCAGCTGATGCATTATACCATATAGAGGGTTGAAAAGAGCCCGTAAAAACTCTTAACCAGTGACGTTACACACTCAGGAGATTCGACGAAGTCTTCATTTAGCACGCCAATGCTTGTGAAAAACAGGTACCAAAGGTAAAGATGGAACATGGCCTGTAGCGCTTGATGTTAAGTCATATACCAGTGACGTCATACCATCCCGCCATGCTCCACGGGATGATGCCTTGTCGCATTGGGCGGCCTAAGTGAACCTGTATAAACTCATGACCGGTGACCTCTCACACTCAGATGGTTCAGCATCGCTTTGATATAGCACGCGAATGCCTGCAGTAGACAGGTACGAAAGGTAAAGCTAGAGCATGGCCTGTTGCGCATGATGTCTGGTCGAAATCCAGTGACGTCATATGGTCAGCTAATGTGGTATGAACTATAGTGGGCTCGAAACAGTGTATAAAAATTAATGGTAAGTGACGTTACACACTCGGGTAATTCGGCAGAGCCTTCCTTCAGCATGCCCATGCTTGCAATGCACAGGTCCCAAAGGTAAGAGTGGAGCATGGCCCGTCACTCCTGAAGTTTATTCGAATACCGGTGACGTCACATGGTCAGTTAATGCCGTATGACCTGTCGTAGGCCCAAAAGAGGCCGTAAAATCTCATGATCAGTGGCATCACACACAGTCGATTGCCAGTGACGTCACATCGTTAGCTTATGCGTTATGGCCTTTAGTTGGCCCCCAAAATCCATACAAATTCGTGATCAGTGACGTCACACATACACAGGTCATTCGCCAGAGCCTACCTTTAGCACGCCAATACTTGCAGTTGACAGGTACGAAGGTAAAAATGAAGCATGGCCTGTTGCGACCAATATTTAATCAAATACCAGTGACGTCACGATATTCGGTGATATTTCCGGACACATGATACACCGTATCCGTGGGGCCTACATGCACTCGTATCAAGTGATGATTAGTGGCATCACACATTCAGGTGATTCGGTCAAACCTTTATTCGGCACGCAAATGCTTGCAACAGGCAGGCACGAAATGTAAAGATGGAACAAGACCTGTTGCGCCTGATGTTTAACCGAATACCAGTGACGACATATCGTCAGGCGATGGCTTACGGCATTCATATGACCTAAAAGAGCCCGAAAACCTCACGACCAGTGACGCCACGTACCCAGTCAAATACCAGTGACATCATATCGCCAGCAAATGCCTTATGGCCTTCAGTCGGCCCAAAAGAACCCATATCGATGCAAAACCACTTTCAGTGACGTCACAATGTCAGCGGATGCCCCATAGCATTTCCCCAGCACGACAGTACACGAACCCTGCAGCCAGCGTAGCTCTTCCCTCCGCCGGCCGTACAGGTACCAAAGTAAAAGAAGCCAACAAATCAGCATGGGGGTTCAAACACCATGGAGTGGCTAAGTCACGACGAGGATCAAGAACACAATACAAGATCTGCATCGGGATACAAACCGACCTTGGGCCGGTCTGCAAAGTCTATTCAGTGTGGATAAGTGCTACGCAACATCTGTGCAATATTATGGTTGAGTGCGTAAATTAGGCCAGACCAAATACGATTTAAAAACTAGTTCATAAAAACATATCTGTTGACGATCACACGGTGAACTCAAAGCTCAAAACTATGACATATAAACGCTGAAGTTCTTGCCGCAACGTAGCTGCTACGTCGGAATTTAAAAGTGTGCCGGTCATGCGGGTCAAAACAAAAAGCACAGTTTATGCTGCCTAGCATGAGGATCAAAATAAAAATCTCCCCTTCCCCTGCCCTGCGGCTGCCGATAGTATCTCAGTGTAAGGCCCTAGAACAGTATCCGGGATGGCAATAGCGTCGTCTAAGGTGATGCACATGGTGGCGCTTATGTGCATTGAGGGCTGACAAATCAGCTCATGATGACGTCATTTCCAGTGCCGACCAAAAACTCGACCAAAAACAAGTTGCGCCTACACTCGATGAGATTCATATAATCACAAGGACTGCAAAACTACCAGTGAAGGACAGCCAAGCTATTTATCCCAATAGTACAGGTCTTCATCCCCGTATCAAAGCCACTACGACAAATTGTAAGCGGGTGACTCGTCCACCTTGAGACCGGCAGTGACGGTAGTGACGCCATCATCAGCTGACTTGCTGTTTTTAAAAACAGACCTTAATGACCGAGTGCACCCCATCTGCCGACACTTGCCTTCTCTTAGCATATAATCATAATTCCACGATAGGTTTACCTAATAGCATTGTAGGCCACAAGGTAAAGCTCGCTATGTGTGTACTTTGGAAGTTATCCGCAATCAGGCGGCAGCGAAGCCAGTCCGCAAGCAGGGAGCAGTAGGGCCGTCCAATATGTTCCAGGTCTTGTGAGCATTCACTGGGCTTGCAAGTTGCTTGATCAAACGACCCTACCCCACCTGCTAAAACCTTGGCCCTCTACGTGCACGTTTTCAAAGGTCTCGCCATGGCTTCCGAATTGAAGCATAGGGAGGAAGCTGGGTATGTACCTGCCCACATACGTAATCAGTATCTTACCTCACAACTAGTCAATTATAGCAGGCAGTATTGTGTATATTGCCAAGCACATCATCTCTGTTAAGTTAATTCCAGGGCTTTAATTACTTTTTTGTGATTTTGATAAAAGTCTCCAGGTAAATTGAAGTTCACGGATCAGCACATCTCCATCATTAGGTCAGAGACCTTGCATTGTGGGATTTATAAGTTAATGGTTTGTTAATGATTAAAATTATTGAGTTGCTTATAAAATAAATTGTTGTATGTTTCACATGCCTGTGCTAGGTACTTTTGCCACATTTTAAGTGGCTTACAAAAGCTTGCTGACAAGAGCATCCTTTGATAAAGCATAATTGCATCATAAAAAGGGGATAGGGGATGAGTTGGCCTGGAGAAAAGGGGACCCTGGAATCCTTTTCACATGGAACCTTTAGATTCTGGATCCCATTGTGATCCATGCATGTGCCTAGGTATGACAATTTATCAATTAATTTGGGATAGGTATTTGCTTCTGTAAAATATTTTCCTGCCATTTTGAGGTAGTTGTCATGACATGTTACATCTGCTGCATTGAAATCCCTGCTCCTGCTCCAAATATTGCCTGATATTTTACACCAAATCCCAAGCCAGTTTTCAGTCTTTACCAGTGCTGCAGGCAGGAGGAGGGCACAGGGACAGATGACTGCCCCCAACCCCCAGTCCCTCCTAATGGCACCCTGGGATGAATGATTCATGATTTGAGTGTGGCCAACTGGTGGCATTCAGGGACCCAGACCTGGCCTGAGTTTGTTTTGAGGACCCAAAGGGCCCCAAAGGCTGACCAGAGGTTGTAGTTAGGGGAGCTGGCTGACAGGGCCAGGCACTCCAATGCCAGCCAGAGAGCCCTCCATGCTGATCAGTGGCCTCCTGAGTCAATAAGGACCTATATGTTAGTTTGACACTGCTGGTGCCACACAGTTGACTCAGTATGGGCATGGATTTGTGGGCCTATTTCCCAAGCTGGGACAATGCCGGGGCCAGCAATTTAAATTGGTTAGTGCCCCATCTTGTGTCAGGGGCGAGACAGCTCTTGACGCTGGCCAAGCTGTGCCAACTCAACTCTGTGCCATTTGACATGGCAGAAGCTCAGTCAAGCATGCACTGGTAGTTTTGCTGCACTGGCATGATATAGTTCATTGCACTCATTAGTCATGACATATTAATTTGGCATGCAGGCAGACTATTGATAGAGCAGCCAATCTTTCAGTAGGGTTTAAAGGCATAAATCACTGCTAACACCAAGCTTCATACTCACAAGAACTAAGACAGCTGGTGGCCTGTTCAAGTTGTTTTATGAAGATATAAAGGAAACTAAGTACAGTTGCACTAAACATACAGGGTTTCAGAGTTTTGGCTGGGTCAAGAACAGGCTTATCTCAAGGAAATGGTTGAATTTTGGAAAAAAAAACAATGCAGTAAGAAATCATCTTAAGATAAGATTTAAGTATGATAGGATTATGTTACAAAACTTGTTTGAGCAACAGGGCTGTAAACGCTTCAACAAGCTGCATGATGAAATCATTAATATTAAAATAGTCAGTATTTCAAAAAAGGCTAGAAGATATTGTTCAAAGAAGGAAGTGGTGGAGTATTTTAGTGGTGCTAAGGAAGTAGGAAATCTTTCAAAGTCTGCACATTTGTGAAATGAACACCCGGTTATATGTCCGAGAATGATAAATGTTACATTGGCCAGATGAGTGAAACGTGGAGAACCCCCGTGGCTCCTCATACTTTATAGCTTCATGCCTTTCTATACTGCCGCGGTTTTTTATCAGAGATATGGACTAGATTACCCATCACACCATGGATTGGGCCCACTTTGCAATTCTGCATAAAGCATGAGGATTGTCTAAAGCTCTGACAACCATGGGGAGTGCCTATCAGGAATCCACTGTACTGTTAGTTGAATTAATGGGCCTCTGCTGCCACCTTTTAGAAGTCGACGAAGAAGTGTAGCGGCTTATCATAGTCATCTGAATGGGCACTTGTGTGTGGAGGATGTGTGCTGCTCAACCCTGCCATTTCTTCTCAGTAGATACACTGAGTTTGTCTAGCTTCAGACGCTTCGTCATTCCCTCGGGGCTGTTGACACATCGAGCACACAGTGGGGGACACAGCCGCTCTGACATCCCGCATTTGCCTTTCAGTTGGCCGCCGGAGGACCTCGCATGTGATGTGACCCTGTGGGGGATATAACTCACACTAGCTCAGGGAGCCCGGCCGCGCGATACAACACCGTATGCAGGTGAGAATCTGACGGCGGTCGTGATGAGACGGTGGTCATGCGTCTGGCCCCATCTGCCGATCGCTGCTGTGGTCAAGTTTAGTCGCGTCAGACGCGAGTGTGAACTTATAGTCCCTCTGGGTATTAGACCCTCCAGCAAGTCATTTAAAACTGACTTCAGCGTCAGAAGACCGGCTATGACATGCGGCCGTGTCCGATATTTCAGAGGTCTCCCCATGTGTTATTAAATGAGGGACGCTGAACTAAGCTCGCATACTGTTTCGGTGGTGGAGATGGTAGTCGGATGAATGTTGAGAGTCTGGGACGTATGCACAGCCACCGTTGCAAAAAAAAAAATCATACCAGGATTCGACTGCCACCCTTGGTGCCTTAGGTATGCAGCATAGTTATGGCAGACTCGCTTGACCCGTTTCAGGATTGGGATTACTAGTGATGGACTCGGCGTAGACCACGAATACATGGGCATGTTGTGATAACAGTTTTTGTGTTGCCGTAATTACTGCTGCCACCAGGCATTTGACCCATGATAGGAAGAAATGCACCGTGTTTGTGTACTGTGCTACACATGTGGCTTTGTACTTGGGCCGACACAACACAGATTGTAAAGGGTGTGGTGGCTACAATATTGCTAAACTGACGTGGATTGCCGAACTAATGACAGCTCTAGCGGTTTGCCAAGGGTTACGATGCGGACGGTTGCATCTGCTTGGACTAAGTTTAAGCTTCAGTTGGCAACAAGGCCATGTGTTGGAACCGGTTTAATACGTCGCAAAGGGACGGTCGTCAGTGCTGGGAAGGGACGCTCGTCAGTGCGGGGAAGGGACGCTCGTCGTTGCTGGGAAGGGACGCTCGTCATTGCTGAGGAGGGACGCTCCTTCATGCTGGGCGGTCGCCAGACACGTCAACCTGAACATAATTCGAGCACAAACGGTGTAATCAGCTTTGTCAGAGTCGAGTTCATGATGTCATTGCATTTTGTCTTGGGGAAAAATAACCTGATGCGGGCATTATCCAGACACGCCCAACGTGCTTGGTGTTGCTTCCCCAAGACCATGGCAATACAGTGTCCCAGAATTGCCGACTTTGGGTGTAAAGCAACACCCTATGAGGAGGTATTCTTCACTCCTTTTCCCCACATTTTGTGTGATTTTTTCACTCCTGCCTGACATTGTCCAATCGCACATGCCAAACCCCTATTTCTTTCGGGGGTTTCAGATGTCATCCAAAACGGAGCTCACTTGGAACCACCAAGCATATACGAGGCTCCACAAAACCTGGACACCTATGGCTATGGCCTGCCTCACCTACATCTGAATCATGTCTATGTATGCACAGAGCAAGGGCGCCAGGTACCTCCAAGCCCATGAACCCAGTGACCCCAGCCGCTTGCACGCATTAAGTTTGTTTTGTTTACAAAGTGCATCACAATCGGCAGCTGTGTGCCAAATGCAAGGTTTTCACTCATCCCTATTTTTTTGTCTCACCACCACACCACGAAAGCAGAGCCTAGTGCAAACACCTGCAAGGCCTGGTAGAGAATTTTACTCCACGCATTTTTTTCCCCGACGAAACTTGACCACTAAATTGCATCACTCCCGAAATGCAGGAGTGAAGGATTCTAGAAATGTCTTCCAAATTAGATTTACAAGATGAATATCACCATTTGAGCACCTATTTTAACAGTTCAAGTCAAATCAGCTTATTACAAAATTTTGCCAGAAAGTTATCAGTCTTTATATTGATTTAACTACTTTTGTTTTTCCGGGTATCATACGAGTGTTTTACCACTTTATTCTTCCTTCCTTTTCGATTGCCTTTAGAGGTACCATCTGTTGCTTTAAATGTTGACCAATTTCTCTGCAAGATGCTCCAACTGCAATCTTGTACGTATTTGATGCATAAATTGGATTAATTCGCCAGCCGCCCAAACATGTTTGATATGCACCCAAGAGTGAACAATTCACAGGGAATGAAGGAGACAATTTCAGGCACGGAACTTGTTTTTACCGCCATTTCTCCCTGTTAAACCCTCGGTTAACCGTTTTCTGTGTTCATGGCGGTGCTCAATAATGATAAATCTAAGCCTTTCGAGTATCTAACTCACTAGACTACCTGACAAGGCCATCCTAATGCTGCCATATGAAGCTTTGGGACAGACCTGACGCAGCTAATACAGAAGTGTTTGATGGCGAAATTCTGCCCTCTGGTTTTGCATTTTAATCTCAGAGGTTGGTGGCATGATTTATATTTATATTGGGGGGGGGGGGGGGAAGGGGGAATGGGATGACTATCTGCCAGCAGACCACGCAAGAGGTACTGACTTTTTGTTTTGGGGGAGCGGGAAGAAGCCAGTAAGTTTCCTGTGGACCAAATAAATGCTTACCTTACCCGCTTTCAACACATGATTGATAACCAGAGTTAGCCATTTTCTTTTTTAATCCATCGAGTTTTGTCATAAGACAAATTATGATGCCACAAGACATGCAATGGGCTTATTTTGTTCCATATTCTTAATTATTTGCCCCAAATTTCTTGAAGCTGTCCCTCATGGGTGCTTTAACCAGATACTTTGTATAGTTCTCATGGTTTGCTGACCGGCAAATGACTGTACCATATATATGCACTATATTTTTAACAGGGATACTCTAAGCTGCATAGCAATTATAATATGAGTTCAATATTAGTATGTAACAAAGAGACCATCCCATTTAAAATGTGAAGCCTACACCTCAAACTTTGTCATTGAATATAAAAAACACGCCCAAATAGATGCCTTTGCTGCAGCTGAAAAGGCGAGTAGCAATACTAAATTGGTCATCTAAAAGTTACGCTACTTTTCGAGAAGAGAGATTGTTTTGTGGGGCATACCGATTATGGCCCTTGACATAGGTTAACCATGGCAATCCAAATAAGTTGTTCAAAATGATATAAAGTGTTTTGATTTGTGTGTTGTCAACTTTTTCTGATGGCAACAAGCATACACAAATGAACTGAATAAAAGTGCGAGTGAAACCAGCCAAAAATTAGCTTTATTATGTTTTATCACAAGTGCTGCTGTCAACAGATAGGTGAGTTGAGAAGATGTTCAACATGTGGGCCACTCGAAGTTAGGCTAAGTTGTTTAAGTACATGGCAAGTGGCAATAAGAATTGTGCAGGTATCAGTAACTCACAACTGCTGCTGTGATACAAACAGGTTAGACAAGATGAGCTGAAGTAAGGCCTCTTTAGGTTAAGCATAGTTAGCTACTTTCAGGGAAATAAGCATTGGTATTTTGTAACAAATGGCAAAATGTTTGTTTTCCCTGACTCCACCTTGACAGAATCCAGAGGTATGTCTATTGTGTTTGACTTGGTGATGGGCTGATGTATAGGGGTCCAAGGTTGTCGTTTTTTCTTTGAGTGTTGTATGCTTGTTGAATTTTCTGTTGTTATTTTGTCATTGAATTCCTTTCCTTTGTTTTGTGTTAAAGGTGCTCTGGAAGGGACATTCAAAGTGCAGCATTAAATTATTGGTGTTAATAATTTTTTATGCTCATTACACTGTCATGAAATTACTATGCTTTAGTGTGTTCTGTTTCACTTTAATAGCCTAAGATGTTAAAAACCAAAACAGTTTTGTCAGGTTTCTGATATTAATTCAATGTCAACTTGAAATAGATGTCTTTGTTTGCTGAAGCATCAGTCACGAGCTCATAAGTTCCATCTTTTGTGAATTTATTTTTTTCACTCACGCACAGTCCTTTTGCGTTCACTCCCACCTTAACTCAAAAGCGATTTTAGCTCCCTGTGGCAATATGACCTTTGATGTCGGTGCTCCTTAAAATCCCTCCACGGCCGTGGATGTGAATTCCTGAATCATATAGCCAGAGTACCGTAACCGTAGGCACTATAAGGTGCTAAAAACCTTGAAAATACTAAATCGTGGCATCACTGTAGCTTCCGCCCATGTCGCTCGCCGGGGTACTGCTAAAGACTGCCATTATTGTAGGCAGACGTGCCTGAGGAATATCAAAGGAATTACCTGCTTTCTGAGCAAAGGTCATTAGTTTTTAAGTTTAAAGACCTTTAAGTATGTTTTTGGTAGGTTGGATGGGGCAGAATGAGGTTGCCATTCTCAACCCACCTTGCCCACCTTGGTGTTCACTACACAAATGGCACGCCTTACCCTCACGCCAAATAATCATCGGTGTTGGTCGTTTTGCTCGTCGTATTGCAGACCATCGCCTCCGGGTATGTGCTGATAATCGTTTGGTTTATGGGTGTTTGACCGCCGTGATCATTTTGCGCACCAGTGAGCAGTGAAGTGTTGAATCCATCTATTTCGCGTATTTCGATGCTCATGAAAAGCGTTATGATGTTTCCAAGGCCTAAGTTCCAACCGATGATTAGACGGAGATGTGTGCATAGTGTGCTGGGTTAATATATTATGTTTGTGCAAAAATACATTGGCTGAATTTTGATGTAGGCATGAGCTTTGTGTTGTTAAAGATGTCTGAGGCATCTCCCGAGTGGTGAACAGGGCACTGAGATGACTCGTTGATGTCCTGGTTGTGGCTGGCATATGCTTGGGGGATAAGATATGAAGTTGTTCTGAATGCACAATGCAGAATTGTTGAATCCATCATAACTATAACCACATTTTAATGCACAGATTTCAGTACTTTTTAGCATTCATTTATGTCGTGGTCACACGGCGTTCTCAGCATTTTTGTTCGTTTTTCTCCTAAATAGTATGCATAAGTGATTGGCGATGCCTACATGTCTAAGTATGAATTGTTTCAGGCCTGTGCACAGCATGCCACCGAGAACCGAGGGAGACGAATGTTATCGGAGAGGCCCATTAATGGGTCAGCCTTATCAGGAGATGGAGTTCGGCCTCCCTCTGATATGTTGTCATGGCCACCCAACGACGCTGGACAACATGCCGCAGGTGACGAGAGCACCCCTGATTGTTGTTCGTGGTGGCGAATACTACTCCAGACGTTACACTGTGACCTAATGGGACCTTAATCTCGATGGGCACGGCACATTTGGCATGGAATATTCGACACTGCTGACTTAATAGGAGCCTTGTAGGGTGGCTATCCCTTAATAGGGTTGTGAGGGATGACTGCACCTGCAAAATAAATGGCCACTCAGGCAACTGTTTTATGTTGAAGACTGGTGAAGATCTGGACGACCGCTTTGTTTTTTTCTCGCAAAATGTGTTGTGAGTCGTCACTTTGGGTGAATGGGGAAGGCCTTGAAACGTAAATCATGTTAAGCTGGATGCCCGGTTACCTAGCGGCATAGCTTGGCTCTGAACGGTGGTCGGGACCATCATGCTCTGAGATTAGACCAAATGGTGAAATACCTATTGTTGCCCCTGCTCTGCGGTATTGAGAAGATATCAAGAGAGATATCAGGATATCAAGAGAGATAGAAGGTGTAACTTGATTGCCGCGGATTGGTCATTTACAGTCGACGTGCCCTTAAATTGCAAAGCATCATCAGGGTCATAACTTGATGGTCTGGGGGGGGGGGGGGGGGGGGCAAAATATGTGAATGCATGCTTCTGGGCCTTGAGTTGTGTTGCAGGGTTTCGGCCTAGGTGTATAAAGGGTGAACACCATTGCCTGTTTGCCATCGATAATCTTAAACTCGAAAATCTACTTCTCATTGTTGACGAATGAGGTCCAAAATATGAACCCGTGCCCCCCCCCCCCACAAATGGTTTTGTTAATCATCATTCAATATGATCGTCTGTCCTTAACGTATTGCCGTGTGATAGTCGTGACATGCATTATGATTCAGGCTTAAGAGCGCCTATGATATCTATGTCGTTATCTCCTGCTTCAGAGGAGCCTGGTCGCGTTTGTCACATTCATGATGCGCTGTGCGCTGTGCCTGGACGAGGCCGTGTTGCGGGTCGCTCGACATTTCGTCCGCAAGGCGCTGGACGAACGCCACGCGCACAGCTTATCCAGCGACACGTTAGAAAAGGTCAGTTAAAACTATGGACCGCCGTTCTGCGAGTCCAGTTTATTGTCTTCGCGACCTCAGTCGGGCTTTTACCACTTGAGCGCGCAGTTGCAGTTGCTAGTAATCCGCACGCTCAGTATGACAGCGTTACGCCGGTGACCAGTGCGTAGCGGAAGACGCGCCGGACTGCATCCGGACCCGATGCTTAAACAGGGTGATTCTGATTGTCCGGCTTTCTTCGGGCCACGATCAGCGTCAGCGAACTTTGCTGCGGCATATGCTGCCGTGATAGGCACAATGTGAGCAGGCTGTCAAATTAAATGCGACTGCGTCGGGGGACGTGTCACTTGTCACGACGTCCAGGCTGTGTTGTGTGCACCACTGCATCTGATGTGTTGTGATCAGCTATGCTGTGCCGTTCACTCATTGGACGATCGCATAGTGGCTACGCTGTACCGTGTTGTACACTCCCGCAGCGGTTACATTGGGACCAGGCTGTACTGTGTCGTACGCTCTGTGCTGTGCTGTGCTGTGCTGTGCTGTGCTGGTCCAGCTGTGCCATGCACACACCCGCGCCCGGTACATTGTGATCAGACCGTGCCGTGTACACTTCTGTAATGGGTGCATAAAAATCAGGCTATACTGTGTTCTATCCCATGCGATGGAACATCGCAGGATCAGCCTGTACCGTTTTCATTTCTGCGTTGGCTACATTGGGGTCAGGCTGTGCCATGTTGTAACCTTCTTTGCCAGTTACGTTGTGTTCACTCGCGCCGCACACGTTGGGGCCAAACTGTGTTGTATTGTACACTCTTGTGCCGATTAGATTGTTATCGAACTTTGCCGTGTTCTACACCTTTGCACCGGGCACTTCTGAGGGTCCTTTTGTTATGACAAAACTGTGTCGTGTTGTATACTCCTGCGCCGGGTACATCGTGATCAGGCTGTGCCGTGTTGTACATTCCTGCGCCGGCTGCAGTGTACGCCGGAGCAGCTGCGGCAGCTGGTGCGCTGCTGCTACCGTGCGTCCAGTTGCCAGCTGCTGGTGTCGCTGTCCGCCACGTTGGAGCGCCAATATCAGCGCGGCCAGCTGCGTCTGCGCTCCAACGGTGACGGCACGAGCTCGCTCTGCGAGCGCGCCACCGGCCGGCCTGTCGTCACGTGCCGCGACGATGACCTAGTGCGTGGCCTGGGGCCGGCTCGGCCGCGCCTGGACGCGCACTGTATGTCAGTAGTTGCGAGCTGAAGACGGTGGTCATTAGTAGGCTTGTGTTGTCGGGTAGCCATTTGCGTTTTTTGCCCGTTTGTGTTCAAACATGGCAGCAAAGGGTTCGCCTCTAAAGTAGAAGCAAACACGTTCTACAAAAAATTAACGTCTGTCGTTAATGGCCTACTGGTCGAAATGAATTTAGTTCCTGGGAATCTTGACTGACGTTTTTCTGTATGCGATTGGCTATTATGGTTTGTAATGCCTCCATACACACTGTTTCGCTTGCTTTTCTCATTTTGGAAATGGCCGGGTGGTCAGCACCTTCGTCAGGGTCCCGGGTTCGAGTCCCGGTAAAGCCATCACCCCTTGATATAAAAATAGATGCCGGTTTTGACTGTGAGCTTTACTCGCCAAGGTCTCTTGTACGGCGTCGGTTGCGGACCACGCTGAGTGTTGCCTCCCCCAGGAGTACGACAGGCCAGCGGCGGCGGCGGCGGCGGCCGCCCCATCGGCGCGCCGACACCTGCTGCCGTTCCCGAGTCAGGCCGGCCCGGCCGACGAGGCGCGCTGCTGTCACCTGTGCGGCGCCGAGTTCGTCACACTGGCCGCCGCCATGGTGCGTGTCCCACACGAAAGGCATCGCCGCACGGATGTCGTGTTCGGCCTGGGTTCGGCCGGGCCTGGCTAGCTCGACACCGATCCGTAGCATGTCGACCTGGCGGGAGGGACAATCGTGTGCTACCCACGCGGGCTGTATAGAGACCGAGCGCGCGTGCGCCTGTCTGCCGCCGCCCTTACGGCCTCCGCTGTGCCGGCAGGCGCACGAGCGTCTCTGCGGCGGACCAGGAGCCGACGACGGCTGGCTGGACACGGACTCTGTGTCCTCCGAGCCGATCACTCACTGCTCCGACCAGACGCGCTTTCTCAGCTACCTGGACCTGGTGCCGGCGGCTCGCAGCGTTCAGCAGGTGAGTAGCGTGCGTCAGTGATGGCGTCCGGCGCTGCACCTCTTCGTCCTGTCTTTTACCCTCGACTTGGGATGCACTGCCTATTGCCCCTCTACTCGCTCTTTATCGGTCAGTCGGCATTAAAAAAGAGCGGTGGTCAACCCACAACCTAAGTATCGCAGGCTTGAAAGATGGGCAGGGTAGGTCAGATTTCTGGACTCGGTGTCAGGGCAACGGATTAGTGCCAACGATTTGCGTGCAGGGCCGCCAGGCAACCAGAATTCTGGTAGCATAAATTCATAGTTACATTCTGGACACCCTGCTGGTTGAATTTTGGAACGACCCCCCCCCCCCTTCCCCTCCCCTCACATCGGCGTCGGATCTGACGCTGGTCGTCTCGCAGCCGTACGTGTCGCCGAGCCGGCGGCGCCAGCGTCCGCGGCCGCCGGCCGCCTGGACGCTGGCCATCCGCGCCGACCTCAGCTCACCGCTCGGCCGCCGCCTGCTGGCCGCCGCAGCCCGGCGGCCGGGCGCCGCCGCCGCCGCCGCCGCATCAGCAGCGGCGGCGGCAGCAGCAGCGGCAGCGGCGGCTCGGCTCGAACGTTTCTGCAGCGGTCGGGACGTCAGGTGAGCGCCGCCGCCGCAGCGACGGCCGCTCCCGGCTGATGACGGCGCACACCATCTCGTGTGTTGATGCAACCCGGCCTGGTGGGGTAGCTGTGGCCTGGTCACGGGGTGGCTCGCTGGACGCTGCTCTATGCTGGTCGGGTGCGTCGCGCCGGGTGGAGAATCGGCGCTGCCATACCTGCGGCCAGCGCTGTGAGGGGAGGGGGGGGGGGGGCATTGAAAAGTGCAGGCGCTGAGGGCCGCGTTTGGAGAAGGTCGGGAGGCGTGCGGAGCAGGCCGAAGCTGTCCGCCACCGACACGATGCTAGGCAGGTGCGTCTTGTCCTGCGCGGTGTCAGCAGGCATCGGCGAGTGTCGCCGCTAACCGCCGCCACCGCCAGGGTGCCGCCGGTCGAGTTCCCCGTGACGTGGCGAGAGACGCCGCAACGGCACCCGGCGCTATGCGGCCCGCACCTGTACTCGTTCACGGCCCAGGAGCGTGCTGAACGGGCGGCTGCCATCCGTACCGGTAGGTTGCCCCCACTCCGGAGTAGCCTGGCAGTGTCAGGCGGTTGGCGAGGGCATGTGGCGTAGCCATACATATTGCTAATGCGAATATGAGGATGCTCCGTCAGCTGAGATAATTTTGTGCACATGGGATCTGTATATCGCATTGGATCAGTAATCTATGTGGACAATGTAATGTGTACGTCATAGCGCATCTTATGTACAAGCGCGGGTCGTCCATGTCGTGCCCTTGTCTGCCGTGATGTGACAAGGTGACGGCCTTGACGAAGTTACGTGTCCACGTCAAGTCGGCTTGGGAGGCCATATCGGACGGATACCAGACGGATGCCATTTATACGGATTATTCGGCTGCTTTTCAAAGCGTTAACCGCGATTCCCAATCCACAACCTGAAAAATTCATACCATTTGAGGCAATGTGCACTACAGTGGTTTGTCTCGTACCTGCCCGACACGTCAAACGATCTTCCGCTCGTCATTCAAGCCGGCTGCCTTCTGTATGTCGATGATGTCAATATTTTCCGCAAAATTGCGTCCCCGGCTGACGGACTGCAGCTGCAGAATGATCTCAATCATCTGGCTGCGTGGTCCTTCAGGTCGGGGCTGACCCTCAACCCCGTGAAATGTAAAATGCTCACGATGATCCTCAGGCGTGTTTTCGTCCAGACCAAGTATTTTATTGAAAGAACTGAGCTTGAACATCTTCCTAAAATTAGGGACCTTGGAGTAATGCTGGATTCCAAGCTAAGCTTCACTTCACATATCTCGCACATAGACAGTACGGGCAATCGTGCACTTGGTCTCCCTATCCGGTCCTTCCAAGTCGGGACCAGCAGGTCAAAATTCATCCGAAGCGCAGAAGTGGTTGCATATTTTGCAAACGTGCGATCAGTTTTAGAATAGTGTAGCGTGGTCTTGACGGTGGCGACCAATTGTCACACAGCGCGGGTCGATCGAGTGCAGCACAAGCTCGTCACTTGGTTACTTACACATTCTCCGGACATACAGCTTCTGTTATGACAGCCTTCTGCTTCATTTCAAAGTCCCATTCCTAGGAACACGAAGTGTGCAGCACGTTTTGCTCTTTCTGGGAAACATCTTCCAAGGTAAACAGAGCTTTCAAGTCTGCTAAGCTGTTTCCCTTGCTTGTGCCGCCTCGATCGACTCGCATCGGAACTCTGCTCGCTGTGCCTCGCCGCTCGTGTGCAGACAATACGGAACGGTCTGTTTTGCAGACTGCCAGGTGTTGTGAACACTTTTTTAGCTAGCAACACTAGCACGGATATATTCCATGACAGTGGTCATTTTTAGAGTTGAAGGGATCAGATATGTAATTACTCATCATCTTCATTTATCTTCTTTTACCTTTGAGTCATGTCACTATTTATGGTCATTCTACCATGCGCTATCTGTGTATTGTATTTTATTTAAACGTCTTTGCCTGTGACGGGAGCGCCTTTCTGTTGGCAATAATAAAAAATAACAACTGAACAAATGGATGTGCTTTCGTACTCCTATACAATGATAATCGCTGAGTACACTCTGTCGGGAATGACCGGCGCCGCCACTAACCGGTCTCGTCTTGTCGTAGGGCTGTCGGCGCGAGCCCGGGCGCTGTGCCGGCGCGTGCGTCGCTTCTCGGTGCCGCTGTGTCGTCTGAGCGCCGCCCAGCTGGCGTCCGCGACCGCCGCTGCGCCGACCGCCGCCGGGGACGGTGCGCCGTCGCGACCGGCGCCGACAGCGGTAGCGGCACCCGGCGCGCTTCGGCGGCGACACGAGCCGTGGGACGCCCCGGTGCTGCTCAGCCGGCTCATCAGTCCCGAGGTGCCGCCGGAGCCTTCTGCCACGCCGGCCGCCGCCGCCCGTCCAGCTGCCGGGGGTGGCGGACCACTGTGGCCGGCGGCGGCGTCCAGCCGGGTCCGGCAGCGACACCGGCCGTCGGACGCCGTCGTGCAGCTGCGCCGCCTGAGCAAAGCCGAGCTACGCCAGACGCTGGCCAGTGCCGCGACCGACACGCCGGCCGGCCACCACCGCAGTCAGGCGTCCGGGCAGCCGGCGGCGGCCGGAGACGGTCCGGGGACGCTACGGAAAATGACCTACGGCACGGCCCGTCTGCTGCGGGACGAGTGTAAGACATTGCGCGACGAGCACTTTTTCCGGCTTCTTCATAGCGAGAAGCGTGTGACGCGCGGCGCCGACCGCAGTCACCGTGCATCGTCCCGCTGGCCGTCAGGCAGGAGGACTTCCTCCTCCGAGGTTAGGACACCGTCCCCGGCGGACGTGAGGACGTCGTCTCCCGAGGATGTGAGGACGTCGTCTCCCGAGGGTGCGAGGACACCGTCCCGCGATGACGTGAGAACGCCGTCTCCGGAAGTCTTGCCTCCATGTCGCGGCTCCGCCGGCCGGCCGGCACTGACTGCCCGCCGCCAGCGTCGCCGCGCCAGCCTGCTGGCGTCGCTGTGGAGGCCGCTCCGCTGCGAGACCGGCGGCGGCGAGCTCGCTGCCGGGCTGACGGACCCGGTCTGCCCAGCAGAGGAGCTGCACCCAACTGTTGACAGGAGTCGCAGCGTCTCCCCCTCGGCCTGGCCTCGCCTGAGCTCGCCGCTGGCCTGTGACGCGCCACCCCTCACCGCTCGGCAGCGGTCGTCGTCGAGCGGCAGCGCCGCTCATCAAGAGCCACTGAGGCGAGCCGGTGGCGCGCTCAACAACCTGCTGGCGGACGAGTGCAAGACGCTGCGCGGCCAGGACTTCGTGCGCCTGCTGAACAGGCCGCTGCGCACGACACGCAGCGAGGCCGGCCCGCGCGCGCCGACGGACCAGCGGGCGGCGCGCGTCTGGCTCCACTGGCCAGGCTTCGCGCGCGAGCCCGACCACCACACGCCCGTGAAACACACGCGCGCTGCCGGCCAGCGGCGGCTGCCAGTGCCGAGCGTGCGTCTGGTGCGGCTGTTCGGCGCACTTGACAGCGGCGGCGCGGGCCGGCCGCCGCCCGGTCCGGCCGCCACACCGCCGAACGGCAGGCGGTGCCGCGGCCGACCGCGGAAGGCCCGCCACGCTCCCGGCGACCGGCCGGAGAAACTGGGCTGGCGCGGCGGCCTCAGCTGTGTGCAGTTGTACGGGCCGCCGCCCCAGGCGATGCCACTGTCGGGCGCGGCGCCGTGCGCCTGGGCCGACGGCTCGGCGAGAAGCGAGCGAGCCTCAGAGGACGGCGGCGGCGGCGGCGACCCGGACCGCGTCACGCCCCGGCGCCGGGGCAGGCCGCGCGGTCCCACCACTATCTCCGAGGACCGGTGGCGGCTACGAGAGCTCTGGATGCCGCGGCTCAGAGTGGGCGCCACTGCAACGTCGCGCTGCGTCCTCCGCGACCTTTCGACGAACATGCAGAGTAGGAAGGTTGAGGAGAAGTCAGATTAGTGATACAAATCATGCGTGATCTGTCCGATACCCTGGACCAGCGATGAGATATAGAGGTACCCGAGAGGCCCGGCATGTACAGAGTGCCTCTCCTATCGTAATCCGGCAAAGGTTTCGCTCGCTGACCAAGGCGCACACGTCTTGGACACGGTCATCCTATCTACAAGAGCCGTCGTTGGGCCGCGCTTGTCCAGGGATGGAGCCAGGGGACACGAGTGGACCTGCGCCAGGTGGGCTTGTCACCCGGACGGCAGTAGTCGTTTGCTAGTGAGGCATGACGACGGCTGGAGGGTGGTCAGCGAAGGCCACCGTTGGGTGCTCCCTTCATCCCGGCGTGCGTCCCGTCTGGTCCAGTGCGACGAAGTGCGATGAACTGGTCTGGTGCAACGCGGTGCGATGGACTTGTCTGGTTCAGCGGGGCGATGTCCTTTGCGCGGATTAGCTGAGCGTGGTACGCTTGCATGCAGTCATGTTACCAAGCTACCTCGGCGCGGGCATTGCTCGGAAGCCACATGGTGATGCTGCTAAGTGCAGGACTGTCGCCTCAGGCAGGTCATGAATGACAAATTAGTGTGGTGATCTATTGTTAGGTGGTACTGGTCTGCATTTTTGCGCACCCCTTTATACATGTTACCATTGTACGTGAAACATTGCTGTGCGAATGTCGATTGTGGAAAGCACGCACTCTTGTGCGCTTTAAGGAGACATCAACACAATGGTACTGGTGCGACAAATTAGCCTACTTAAACGAAACAATCACCAGACCGAGTAGCATGTTTCTTTTGGCTAAATTTCGCTCAGGAATCTTGTTTCTAATCGATCGTGCATGAAGGCTTTCGGTTGGGAGGGGTATGGGCAGGAGCGGATCTTCAATCCATCGGCCGATTCATCAGTTAGTAGCGAGTTTTTGGGTAAGAGGATAACGATGAACGCCGTTTCCATATTATTGCGGAATGACCTGGATGCCACTCTTTACTTCGGAGAACGTGTTTTCATAGTCTCGGCAAAATAACAACTTAGTGGCAGCCTGTTTTTTCAAGCGCTTACTTATATGAACTAATAAAGCCTTCGAGAAAAACGCCAACATATCTATCGGTTGATGAAGTAAGACACGGCGAGTTCTGATGCCGTCTGGGTTGTAGATGGTGGGTTTGTTCACCACATTGTTCGTGCGCATTGCTTGACAGGTGTATGTTTTGTGTTCTGGACTTGGGAACACACTACATGCCCTTAATGGGGCGCAAGCGCTGCATGACAAAATAACCGCAAGGCAAATGCACACGGCGCTGTTCCCTCTTGATACGATGCAGTCGTATGCTGCCGTAAATGTAGAAGTTATGGAACGAGTTTAAGCTGGTTTCGAGGCCCGTAAAATATACGTACATGTTGGCACAAGCGTAACCCCAATGAACAAAGCACTAATGTCCATGCGGAACGTCGTTGCATAGCCAGTTACTGTCTCTTCCGGAGTACGCGTGATGGTTTGAACGTCGTGACTTCTAGAATGTGTTCCTAATGAGTGGTTTGTCACTTTGCAAACATGTTGATGAATGGTATGTGCTTTTTTACACATTTGAGTTGGACCTTTTACACGAATGAATTTTTTAGATCAGAGCTCACACTAAGCAGTGGTTGTGTTATGAGTCGTAGCCGCTATCATCCGATCGTGCAACTCTAGGTCAACGGCAGAGTGTTGTGGCGGCAGTCTAACGCGCCGCCGCCGCCATGCCCGGCACGGTCCGTCCTACCCTCTGATATTACCAGAGCTTTAGGGAGGCCGCTGCGACAGGACGCAGGCCATATCTGCCAGAGGCAAAAAGGAAGCGCTTAAGGGACATGAACCCACCCCGCCACAGTTGGGTGGATCATAAGGCAGTCTCCCTAATCAACTGAGTTGTCGGGATGGACACTAGACCACCGGAATGGACGCTGGGTCATCGCGACGGACACGGCCACCGGGACGGACACTGGGCCACCGGGACGCACCTAATCATACCTCACCTTTTGGGTCGTAGTTTTGAATCGCGGAAACTTGACGGTATTTTCTATGGTAAGCGACTGAATATGGCCAATGCAGCTCGTTTTTTTGGTCAAGTGGCTATCCATTATGCCATATGCAAGAGTAACGACACTGCCACATGCCACTCGGAAAAGACTCGGATGGTCATGAACACCGCAACGCATGCGGTGAGGGTATCGCCGTGACCGATATGGTCATGAACACCGCAGCGCAAGTGATGGGGGGGGGGGGGGGGGGGGGGTATCGCCGTGGCCGATATGGTCATGAACACCACAGCGCAAGTGATGAGGGTGTCGCCATGGCCGGCATGGTCATGAACGCCGCGACGCAAGTGATCAGGGTATCGCCATGGGCCTTGGTGTGTACAACATATCGCTAATATAATCGACCGACTCTCATGCCAAGCTATCGGGTGCGTTGCCTCTCGCTGGTAATGAACGATGTATGTGATCAAACCCTGTGTGAAAACGAATACGGAACTGTCTCGACGGACGTGAGAGTTCAGAATTGCTGGCGTCAGACCGTTGGTGGTCTGCATGGCGCCGGTAAGCAACGGAACGGATGGTGCTGGCCTACATGCCGCCGCCAACGAGATTGGGGCAGCCTTGTTCGTGTCAGTTTCTTCTATATCGACTCCTCCACGTTTATGTCGGCTTGCTCACGTCGACTTCGACGTCGGAAGACACCCAGCTGAAAGTCGCGGAGCGCCCGATCGCAAGGTCCCGGTACCCGCCGTTAGCCCTCCGAACAGCTGCCGGCAGTGTACTGTGTGGCAGCGAGCGGTTTGAGCCGGTCTTCGGGCGCGGGCGCGGGCGTGTCGTCGCCGCGGGATAGACTCCGTCACTGGCAGACAGGCTCAGCGGCGGCAGCTGGCCTGGCCTGCACTATCACCGTTCATCGTCGCCGTCGTTTGCGCCGCGGCGGTTCAGCTGATGGCCGCGGCGTGTACCTGAGCGGCGCCACGGTCGCTCCGCGGACACGGCCGGTGGTGAGGCGGGCCACTCAATCCTGCAGCTTCTCGGGGCGGATGAGTCGGGCTGAATGGTGGATATAGTGGTGTTTTTGACATCTGACATCTGATACCTGACATCATCGTCTGAAGCGCACGTAAAGGTGAACTTTCGAATTCAGCAGGAGGATGCTAGGCCCTAGCCTTACCGGCCCCCAACTTGGAACCCACTGAACAGATTAAATCCGTGAATAAATTGGATTTCACGTAATAATCGTGATAGCTTTTATTAG